TGTGTTGTTTGTGCCAAAGAAAGGAGGCAAACTCCGCATGTGTATTGACTATCGCGGTCTAAACCGCATCACAAGAAAGAATGCTTACCCATTGCCTCGTATAGATGACTTGCTTGATGTTGCAGGCGGGTGCAAGGTCTTCTCCAAGATCGATCTCAAGTCTAGCTACCACCAGATTGAAGTCGATCCTGCGGACCAGCACAAGACTGCGTTCAAGACGCGAGATGGGCTTTATGAGTTTACCGTAATGCCCTTCGGTCTTACGAACGCACCAGCCACGTTCCAAAGCCTCATGGACAAGGTCCTCCGCGAACAGATTGGCCGGTTTGTGGTAGTGTATCTGGACGATATCCTGATTTTCAGCAAGTCCATGGAGGACCACCTCAAGCATCTTGAGGAGGTACTTGCCATCCTCAAGGAGACGCAGCTCCATCTCAACTTGGAGAAATCCGAGTTTGGGAGGGATAGTGTCATCTATTTCGGGCACCAGTTGTCTGCTGCAGGCCTAGAGCCTGAGGCAACCAAGACTGAGGTCATACGCGATTGGCCTCAGCCTGTGAAATTCGTGAATTGCGTTCTGTTCTTGGTCTCGCGTCGTACTATCGGAAGTTTGTACCCCGTTTTTCTATCATTGCTCATCCATTGTCGCGACTAACCAGCAAGAATGTGTCTTATTCTTGGGATGCCGCGTGTATGAAAGCATTTCGAACTCTCAAGGAAGCTTTGGTAAGTTACCCGGTACTCCGCATTGCAGTATGGGATCGGTGCAGTGCTGCAACAAGATGATGGCGATGGTCTGAGGCCACTCGAGTACTACAGCAAACGAATGCCCAGCGTAAAGGTAGCCACTTCCACCTACATGCGCGAGCTCTACGCTTTGCGCATGGCGTTGGATCACTGGAAACATTACCTGTTGGGACGCCACTTCAAAGTGTTCTCAGATCATGAGACCTTGGATCAAAATGCAGACTACCCTGTCCCCTACCTTGCTTCGCTGGTTTCATGAGATTGACATCTTTGATTTTGAATTGAGACACAAAAAGGGTTGTTACAATCGAGTCGTTGACGCATTGTCTCGCCACCCTGAGTACATGCCTTGTGAAATCCTACGACCTCCGGAAGAAACTGGAGGAGGAGCTCGTAGAGCAGACAACCAGATCCGGAACTTAGTTCCATCCTTGAGCAGCTGCGGGATGATCCTAGTAGTCAACCTGATTTCCACGAGTATGGAGGACTGATTTTTCGCCGATACGGGAACCATGATCGTTTGTGCGTACCCAACCATGAGCCTCTCCGCACACACTTTCTGGACTTGGCTCATGGCCGGAGCGGGCACTTCGACATGGCAAAAATGAACGCTAACCTGCTGAGACAGTTTGATTGGCCTGGCATGAAAGGGACTGCTGAGAAATTTATAGTTGAATGTCAAGTCTGTCAACGAATCAAACCATGCAGGCAAAAGCCCATGGGGCTACTCACACCCCTACATATTCCTCATGGTGCTGGGGAATCTGTCTCCATCGATTTCACGGACATGGGCAAGGTAAGCAAGAATGGGTTTTCACAAGTCATGGTGATTGTTGACCGATTCTCAAAGTTTCTTAATCTGATCCCTCTACCGCCTCACGCCCCAACAGATCTAGTGATTCGCGAATTCCAGCAGAAATACCTGCTGCAATTCGAAACCCCGAAGACTCTTGTGAGCGATCGGGACCCGCGGTTCATTAGCGCTGAATGGAAGGAGTTCACGTCCCACCTAGGAATCAAACTGTGCATGACATCTGGCCGACACCCCGAAGCCAACGGTTTGGCTGAGGAGATCAACCAGACTGTATTCCAACTACTCCGTGCTTTGATCATTCCTGATCAGGAAACATGGATGAGGAGCTGTATTCTGTCAAGGGGTTGAACAACAACTCCGTTCACTCTGCCACCGCCACGACGCCCAATAGGCTGCACTACGGGTGGCAGATCCGCAATCCGCTCTCCTACTTGTTCCCTGAGCAGCCGGCTGGTTTGACACCCACAAGGCCCGACTTCAAGGCTAAGTATGATCACTTGCTCAAAGTTGCTGTTGCAACTATGACCAAGCGACAACATGCCATGATTCATCATGCGAACAAGAAGCGCAAACCATCGGAGATTCAGGTAGGAAGTTATGTCTGGGTAAAGATGTCTGAATTCTCAGAGGAGGAGAGAGTCTCACGCAAACTCCTCCCACTCTACTACGGGCCTTAGGAAGTTTTGGATGTAATCGGGGAAGATCATTTCGGCCCTTCGTACGTTGTGGACGTGCCTGCTCACCTGTGCACATCCCGTGTTTCATGCATCTAAACTGAATCTCCATCGTGAAGCCGAGACATTCGATTACCGTGAAGATATGATCCCTCGCGCAATCAAGGGCGGGCATGAGATAGATAGAATCAAACAACATGTAGGTAAAGGGGGAAACAGACAGCACCAGGTTCATTTCATGTATCACCCGTTAGATGATCTCTACTGAATCTCCAAATAGGAACTGCTACGCAGCGCACCGCGCGTTGTTAAAGCTTACGAGCGACAGATCGCCGCTAACGCCACACCGAAAATCTCAGCAAGGCTCTCTGCAACAGAGTATTCCAGGAATCTCTTTGCCTTGCTCGCTTACGATGCGTTTGTCGAGGACTCAGAACGAGTTACTCGCTCGAAGGGACCTCGCTCTTGAGGGGGTGGTAGTGTGATAACCCGTCCAAACACGGACTGAAACACAACTGATTTATGAGTTTTGCTCATAGACTGAATGCCCTACCGAGTCCCCCGCCTGCTAAGTCTGTGTGTGTGTGTGCTTGCTGGACTGCATGTTTGTCTGAGTGCTGGTTGGCTTGCGTGTGTGACCGTGCCTGTCTGAGTGCTGGTTGGTATGAGTGTGTGTGTGTGTGGCCCGCCAGGGCACTTGTTCGTTCGTTGGGCCCTCAGGGCCGGTACTTACCTGTGACCGTGGCTTCGAAGGGTTGCAGCAGGGAAAAAGCACTCAAGTAGCGGGTAGGCCGGTACCGCACCCGGCAGGGGGGTAAATATGCAGGAACCGGAGGCCGAGCAGAAGAAGACAAAAGTGGCATTTTTAGAGGCCGGTAGTGTAGGCTAGGTCTAGCGGGTACCAGTCTGAGAGGGTAGGGGCAATATCAGAGTCTGCAATGATGTTCCCTCCAAAAGGAGGAAGAGGTACCGGTTGCTTGTGAAGGCCAGCGGCCTGGAAGTCACCGCC